CCCCCAGAAATTGATGAACGCCGAAAGGTTTATTCTTCATCGTTTTATCAACAATTTCGTGACTGGCCAATAAAAAGGCGTTAGTCTTATGCATGAAGAACCTAATATGAAGTCGGTCCTAGGAACTAAATGACAATGTTTCAAATCCGAGCTTCACTGAGAATTGATGTAAATTAACCGTTCCATGTGTATCCACTGCCGCCTCTGTTCACAGCATTGTCGCCGTTCTACACCACTCTTCATATGAGCTGCTCGTTTTCAAGAATACATCGCTCACGTGTTTTAGTAGATTGGTTAGATTGCACATAAATCATTGCACGACTTTAATGCATTTGAAGTGGAAAATCTCAGCTTGGCCAGATATACAATTATTCACTCTAACGATGCTTGATGAAGTCGAATGCTTCATTCAGGAATTAATCAACGCTAAGAGCTTTTATATAATGCTGGGATATTTGCAAAACTCCGGACCGCAGGTGTATGCGGTGGGGAACGAACGCGCTATTGTCCTTACCGGGGAGTAGCGCACTTCACCACCACACCATCCGGGTCCTTCGTTTTGCCTGTCTCTCAGCTAGTTCTATTGATCTTTTAAGCTAAGAGCTTTATCTTCTAGTTTTAATAACGAAGAACATCTATCTTATCTATTGTGATTGCATAAGCCTATGGCGTTGGGAAGGCAATGAAGTCGTTGAAGGAGGTTTCGGCTTCGGCATGGTTTTTGAGGTATTTTTTGGATAGGAAGTTGTCAAGGTGCTTGAAGAAGTGAAAGTCGATAGGCAAGTGATCTGCTAGTGTGGTGGATGAGATAGAGCTTCGTAGCCCAATTTGTTCAACCTTTTCAACGTCGGTAGTGTGATGTGCGGCGTCCTTTATCGTGGAGATGGATCACTCTTTTCGCGCGGCAACCATTTGTCGAACTCCTTCGAGTTTCCAAATTTCTTCGCATACTTCGAAACAGTTAAGATGCACACATCGACTTTTTCGGCAACTTTTCGAACGGTTTCTCTTGCATTTCTTTCCACCATAGCCTTCGATTCGTCATCTTCAATAGTGGCTGGATGCCCATGACCTCGTCTTTGAAGTCCAATTCGCTACGATTAAATTTTCCAATCCACCGCTGTACTGTGCATCGCCTACTCTTATTTCGCTCCATAAAGGATATAGCTCTCGGCGTTGATTAATCCCTGAGGAATGAGATATGCATTCTACTTCAGTAAGTATCGTTGGAAGTGAATGAATGCATATATGTGCTTTACAGTGACTCACGGTGGCCAACCGATGTATTGAGCCAGTGCTGCTATCCTCCCGGACAAGTCTGGTACCAATTTGTCGACCTCGGAGGAATGGAGAGCTTGGCATGTCATGGGAGAGTAGATCGATTCCACATGTGTGTCGCAGTGGCACCTCGAACCGCTGCCCCTTCATTTGGGAACGCTCCATCCCGACTATCTCAGGACTCCAAGGAGAATTGCTCGATCGGCATTCTACGACATTCAACAGGACTTAGTTAAATAAAAACCTCAACAATTGTTATAACCAGTAACCACATTAACTGATTTTAGCCGACATTATCTGTATAGCCGAAAACCACTTGTAGGCCGTCGTGAAAAAATATTCGGACTCTGAACGGTTTTCGAAGTTGAAGACTTTTACTTACTGCCTATTATTTCTTCATAGTAGAGTATTATGTGCACTAGGACGAGGGAGAGATATTTGCAAAACTTGGACCACAGGCCAGATTGGAACCCTTGGTTAAAGTTTAGGGGAACTCACGGGTTTTCCACTGCACCAATGATGCCCTTGTTGTGCCTTTCTCTAGGGCTATTTTTATCCTAACACCGTAACATTATAACGAACCTCGAATCTTGAATCGAATTTGGCCTGGGGTCCGACTTTTTCAATACTCAGTTCATTAATTTCTCAGGTGATTAAGCTAACACGAGATTGACAGCATACTTTATTCGGCACAAGTTCCACCGCCTTCGTCTTTCTCAGAGCCGATTGATCCGCGTCGCTTGTCCAAGGTTGTCCATCCTAGCGCTATGGGTCTTTCTAGTCGAGCTGAGTAGAGCGCCGCTCGAATGAACTAGACTTACTCGGCGATGTCATTTTAAAAAAGGATGGAATGTCCACGACTAACTGAACTTGCGCTGCTCTATTCGAGCGGTGTTCCACTCAAGAAAATTCGATTCGATACCAATACGAGAACCAACAGCGCTAGGCCGAACGAAGGTGAATCGTCGACTTGGATCAATTTCTATCAACCTGCTGTTAGCTTAATCATTTAAGGTTATATCGACTAGTCGGGTCAAAAAGCCTGACACAACGCACTCCAGTGCTTCAGAAATGCACGATCAGTGATTACTTACTATGCAGTACTAGTATTACTTAATTCGCTAGGAGCTTCACTAGCCCAATCCAACAGCACCACAACAGTTGCTCATCGCCAACACTACTGCTACTAACCAATTTTTGGCAAAGTACACGGTCAGCGTCATTGTGTTTAATTGCGGACACCACACATATCTTGACGATTACTAATTTTCGAATTTTAGTATTATGTATTTGACGTCTTAGTATTACTTCCAGGTCGCGAAGAAAGTTTTCTTGTGAGTTTCGTTTCGGATGTTTTAGTTTTATTTACCTAATTTGGTAAAATGGTTGCGTTGTAAACACAGTTGTGGCCGTAAATTGTACATTGTTTTCTCTGCTAATGTACATTTAGAGGATGTTTTTCTATTATTATAATAAAGATCCATGCTGTTTCAGTGTAGACAAAATGTTACTCCAGTTCTCAAAGTAGCTTTGAATATTTGACAAATCAGGTGTGCATCATGTTCCAGAGGGGCGCGCGTAGAGCAGTGGTTGGAGGTGCCGCGTAGTACACATAGGATCGATTCCCGGGCCCCAAGCTCACCAAGCCCTCCGTCCCTCTGGGGTCGGCAAATTGGTACCAGGGTTGTCTGGAAGGATAGCAAAACCGTCCCAATACATCGGTAAGGCACCACGGGTCATCGTAATGGCCAGCTACGCATTCATTCACCTCCAATGATGCTTAACGTTGTCGAATGCGTGACGCTTGCATCAGGGATTAATCAACGCCGACAGCTTTATTTTTTATTCTTTATTCTATCATGTTCAAGGATACGGCTACTTCATCATTCTTGTTTTGGTTTTTCTCTTTTTTCTTCGCTTAATTTTCACCCATAGTAGTATTATTTTTTTTTAATTTAGGTCCTCTTCATTGTATGCACGGTATCTCTTTCACTGAAGAGGAAAAAGAGTTCCGCTTTCCTTGGGAAGTTCTTTGCGATTTTTATGCAACATTTCGGCCACGAGACTTAAGCAACGATGCTGTATATAGCTACGATTGCTGCTTGTCGAAGGTTCACTTAAAGTACGAGTTGCTTATATTTTTTTCTAACCAGTGTTGATTGAGTCATCCAGTTTTAAAGTAGTCGATCCCTTAATAGCATTTGATTGTTTGTGATGTTATGGTTTCACTTGGAATGAATAGAAGGTTATAGAATGAAATCGGAGCTTGATCGGGCTCACTTAGTGGATTGAGTGAACGTTTACTACAGGAGGGACTCCTTTTTCTTAGAACGAGGTTGTATAAATTTGTAATTTCAGTGATAAGAAACTAGTGAAACTCAGCGAGCGGAAGCAAGTGACCCTATTGAATGCTGAAGATTTTGCTGATTCTATAGAAGCGATGAGCATTTCCGAACAAAACGATGGCGATTGTATATCAGCCATTGAAAGCTCTACAGCTGAGGATACCTATCATTTAGATGGAAACGGTATACATTCAATGTTTTAAAACCGACTTTCGTTTTGACCGCGGTCCACAGTTGTTCGTTTTCCCGATGTGGCGTCTTCATCCTCGTATCAAGCAGGGTCTTCTTCAGTGGAGCGTCTCTCACCGGATGGGTATGCCACTTTCGTGAGAGATGCTCCACTGAGGAATACCCAGCCAGATACGAAGAAAAAGACGCAACATTGTGAGCACGAACAATTTTGGACTATCGACTGGGATCATCGGTTCTGATGAAGGCGAAGGCGACGAAACTTCGCAAAATGAAATTTACTCATTGATCAACCTCTTGCAAGCTCACAGTTATACACAGTTGCACATAATTTTTGAACCTTCCATCAAACCGATTTTGAGTAACTTTTGTCCTTTACGGATTAATTGAGCAGGACCAGAACGGTAAAAGTATCATTGTAGCTAATGCTGGCGACATTTGCTAATAGAGCTTTCCTGACCTATTGTAGGTGAAACCGTTCTTGAGATGACCAGTGACGCATGGTCTGAGCTTCCCAAACGTTTTGGTACATCCAAGAAGATAGGACATTCAAAATACTACCAGAAACGGAAGCGTTCATTTGATGATGCCCAGAGATGGCTGCGTAGTACCACATTTGAGGAGTACTGGCAGGTAAGTGATAGGATTTTTGTCTAGAATTGCTCGATCTATGAATTGGGACAACTAAAGGTTGCCGATCGAAATCAATTGTACAAGAAAGTTTTTTCCGTTGTCACTACACGTGCGTATGCGTTGTTTAACAATTGGAAGAACAAAGGGGATGAGGAGAAATTGAGTGTTATTCAATTAGTTGCGAACTCTGCAAGGTTCTTCACCCTTTATTAAGGAGACTGCGTCGTACTTAATTTATCGAACGTGGTATGAAGACTATGGTCATATTATGAACGAAGATGATCGGATTCACTTAGCCAAGCAAGTGAATGAGTGCAAGCCTATGGTTTTGATTGATGAGCATGCTGAAGAGGTACTTTAGGAACATTCTGTCCGTTCAGTTGGACATATTTTCAATACTTATACTCATGTACTGCAAACTGACCACTGACCCAAAGCCGGAAACTATATAATTTAAAACTTTGAACTTATTAAGAATCTATAGCTCAGCTTTTCCACAATCTGCAGATTTGGAGCCTCCTAATGTAAAATAGTCCTCGTATTGGCTCTAGATCCATGAGTCAGGCTCTGAGCCGTTTCGGCCTAGCACCTCTTGGTAGAGTTTGTGTTGTCTCTGTTCCTAAGCTGTTACAGAAGCTTTCGAAGTATTATGGCCTCAGCAAGTGTCTGAAGTACTCCTCTTACGAGGAATTATTTGCATTGCATTCGGAACTCGTGATGAACATGGCTCTTAAAGATTTCGAGCTTTTCCGTGCTGCATTGACACGCCATCGTTGTAGGACATTCCTGAAAAAGGTACCACTATTAATTTCTGCCTTCGAATTCTTCTCTTCGAGTCATTTTCTTTCGATGGATATTTTTGTATTGATTTCTGTAAAAGTGTTGTTGTCTTGGTTCTGGTAAGGCTAAACTGATGTCGCTGAATATTTGAGGTTGAGAAGATGGGATTTGTGCCAGGCTATAGTGATGTTGATATAAACACAAATGAAGAAGCACCAGCATCGAACCCTAGAGATTTGAAGTCGGGAAGACCAACTCCTTTAAAGAGGAGGTTTCTCGCGACTTACGGAGATGATGAGGTTCTGCACTTCTTCCTATTCGTCCTATCGAGTCTTTCTTACATTGTTCTGTTCTTTAAGGTATTCAGCGATGTAAGTTATGAGATTTATGATCCAGACGCGGCATCGATCTCTGTTATTCTGGATAGGTTGGTTGTCGTTAGTGATCATCAATAGATTGCTGAGCCAAAGACAAATTATTATAGAGGTGAAAACTCGACAACTGAGGAGACTGCTGTTGAAAATGAGAAATTAGAGGAACATGGTGCTGTTTTGGGAAGCGTTGATATTGTGAGTGAAAAGAACGACAGCTCAAACTTGGGTCTTTCATTCGCATTTGACCCGGCGAAAGACGCACATCTGCTTGCTAAAAACGCCTTCGATGCCTATAGAAATGATAAGGTAGGTTTTACTTAAGCATTCTTTACAGGATATTTTTGGACATGTTTTATTTGTGGTAATACGTGTAGTACTCATGCTGTACTATTATAGTACTATGCTATTTGTAGTATTCACATGTTTGCAAAATTTGCATTGTTAACCACTCTTTGTCACTAAGTGCTACATGGTGTTCTGTCCATGTTAGACAGTTGAATTTGCAGGAAATCATCAAGTACTGGTACCAGAGGTACCGCTTGTTTTCAAAACTGGATAAAGGAGTACTGATGGACAGAGGTTGGCTACTACTGCTTCTTTTCTTATTTTATTGTTTTACTAAATTTCATCTAGTACTATTTTTTTATTTTATATGACTCGTGTTCACGTCTGCAGTGCGGATCCCAGCACTTTTCACATTCAATCCGTTTCCTCGCGTCCATTAGCCACGATGGTCTTCCAGCTTTTACGTGTGGCTTCGGTTGCAGCTTGAGGATTTTCGTTTCATCTTGAATGTCGTAGAATGCTGGTCCAGTCGATTTTCCCTGGTGTCCTAGGATAGCCGGGCTAGGGAGTTCTCAATTGGATTGTAGAGAATGTTTTTCCCAGACAAGTCCGGCACCAATGTTTTTTCCCTGACAAATTTGGTACCAATTTCTCGGCTCCGGAGGGATGAAAGGGTTGGTTGGCCTGGAGCGGAATCGAACTTGCATCATGCTCTTGTTGACAGACATCACTACCACTGTGCTATCGGCCCCCTACCTAGTACTGCTTTATACTTACTACCATGTTTGAACTTCAACAAATTTTTGTGTATCGCTATGTATAGTTATATTGAAAAGCAATAATTAAGAGGGGTGGTTCTCGGTGACACCCGAACGGATAGCAGAACATATTGCTGATCGAATGGTTCGTCAACCAGGAATTCTGATTGTAGATGCTTTCGCTGGCGTTGGTGGTAACAGTATACAGTTAGCCTTGAAAGGAGCAAGGGGTCAGTGTACTACTGGCTTACGAAGCGGCAGAATGTCGGTAGTTTCACTAGTATTATATTGTTTTCGTTTTAGTTATAGCGATTGACATGGATCCGATCCGGCTGAAGTGCGCTCGTGAAAATGCGAGAGTTCGTGTTTCTTTACTTCGTTTAGTATTTAATTAAGAGAGTAGTTCTGTCTGATTTTCCCAACACTTCGATAGTGTTTGAAACCCATCATGTGTGCTTTTTGTTTGCTTCTACTTCTTGCTTCTTCTTATACTTGTTTAAGGTTTACGGTGTCGAAGACCGTATTGACTTCATATGCTGCGACTTTTTCCACTTTGCTTCGAAGTGGATGAACGATGTTGGAAAACCAGTAGAGGTGCTGTTTTCCTAAACTTGTGCATTTTGTGGTTTAAATTGTTTGAGGATGACAGAGTTGGGCGCTAAATTCAGGTTTTATTCTAGGTGGATGCAGTATTCCTCAGTCCTCCATGGGGTGGCCCAAGTTATTTAAAGTCGACGGTGACTTTTTAGTATCTTATTTGCAGAAACTGATGGAGCTCTATGTATACGCTGACATCATGTGAAATATCTTTCCTATTAGGTATTTGATCTTGACGACCTCAATCCCAATGGTTTTGATATTTTTACGGTGGCAAGGAAGTTATCACCGAATATCGCTTACTTCTTACCCAGGAATACTGCGCTAAAACAGGTTTGTGTTTACTGTGTTCTTCATTTTTTACCCTTACGCAAGTCGATCATTCTAACTCCAACATTTTTTACTAGGATTGTTCTTGTTTTGTTTGTCTACTGTCTTCTTGCTCAATGCAACAAAATGGTAGTTGTGTCTTACCAAAAAATGACACGCGTGATGTAGTGGTTAGTGGAACTCTGAAATACACATGGGATCGATCCCCGCACTCCAGGCTCATCAAGCCATCAATCCTCCGGGCTCGGCATATTGGTACCAGACTTGTTTGGGAGGGTAACAGCACTGGATCTAAACATCGGTTGGCCAACGTAAGTTATTGAAAACGCCAGATATGCATGCAGTCACCTTCAAGGATGCTTAATTAGGGCGAATGCATGACGCATCCCAAAGAGATTGATCAACGCCGAGAGTTCTTTTTTTCTACAAAATGCAACAGTTTTAAACTTGCAAGCATTTTATTCTTCTTCATTTAAGTTGATATCCCTCAGTGGGTCAGGAGGAAGATGTGAAATTGAACAAAGTTGTTTAAACAAGAAGATCAAAACTCTCACTGCCTATTATGGGAGTCTAGCCGTTCAAAGAAGCTGAAAAATCGCTTAGCAGCCAATCCTTAGAATCTTGGGCGAATACTTAGCACCTTTTGTTATGTGAATCTTAGAATTCTCACCGTTTTCTGCTCTTAAAACATTTCATCTGACCTGCTTACCACTGGTGCTTCGTTCCCTCCTTTCCGCATATTTCTACTGAGGTGAATGCAAGTGAATTAATCAAAGGCTCTCCCGCTGTGTTTATGAATTCGATAGAAGCTTTTCAGGATTGAAGAACATTGTTGATTGTTGAGCCATTTTTTGTTCTTTGTTGTTTCTCAGGTTCTTATTATCCACTTAGCACACATTTTGATGTCTTAATGTTCTCATATTTAGCTTGCCGTTAGATTCTTCCAGTGATAGACTTTTATCATGAAGAAAGTTCACGTATAAAGATTGTTGAAGTTTTTAACAACAGGCTTTTAAAAATGTCTGGATTAGGGCGTATATAGCGCAATAGTTAAAAGTACAGGACACATGTCGTTGATTCTATCCCACGCCTCGGACTCATCAAGCTTTCCATTCCAGAGTTGGTAGATTGATGCTAGACTTGTTTACGAGGACAAAATGGCTGATACGGTACATCGTCAGCCCACTCAATTCTTTTGATAAAGTAAGTGTACATTCAGCAACATCTACGATGCAAGGAATAGGACGAATTTATGGTTCATCCATCACTAATTTCTCGAGTTTACCTTTTATCGTCCTTTTACCGTTTTAGATGCACATAACCAACAAACGTATGGTGAAGTACTTAAAGAGGGCCTGTTGGCTCACCTGAGTTTTGTTTTCTGTCTAGTAAAGTACTCCTTATTACTGTCATCTCGGTGCAGAGATTTATACACCGTTTGGAGGTTATATTGTCTAAACTGGTACTTCAAAAACTGTGTAGTTTCTGAGTATGTGGAGATTAACACAAGGCGTATATGCGAGGTTTAGTGGTCGTATGACTTAGAAGGACACCCAGAGTTTAAGGTCTTTCTGTTTCTTTGAGTATAAACGGTCATTTTTCCCGATAACTAAAGGTCTTAAAGGGTTGTGAACATGACAGGATCGTAGAAGAGACTTCCTTCCACCGTTCTATATGGTTATGAATGGCATGTATACTGATACAAGTTGCTGTATGCTACTAAAGGATCCATCACACAAGCGTTGTTAAGATTTGGATGTGTTTCGCAACTTATTTTGTGTACATTTTGATGCTTTTTATACGTATATAATCCATAGAGTACCCATGGTCTACCATAGGGATTGAAAATAGTACAAAATAGCAATAGCGTAGAAAAATACTAGCTCGAGATAGGTGTAGAGGAAACCGCAAGCCACCCAACGATAATTCTAGCGGCAGTAAGGTCCCGTTTCTCCTGCCCTTCATTTCAAATGAAATCAGTGTAGCTATAAAACGCTGCTCAAGAGAGGCGGGTCTAGAGAATTCGGTAACGATGACTGAAATGCTACCGAGTAATCTAAGACGTCAGCTAGTTCGTAACCCCCTATATGACCGTCTATGTGCAACGCAAAATTGTATAATTTGCTCCAATGGTAGAGACGGTGTTCGGTTACAGTTTATCTGATCTCTTGTAAAGCGTGCAAAGACGAATGCTTTGGCGAAACGGCTAACAAACTTCGGTTGTATTCGGAAGACCCATTGACTGTTTGTGCTCAAGAAGGCGCTAACATGGCTGTGGCAATATGGTGGGGATTGAAGCAAGGATTGCATTCAAAATGTCAGTGAGGTGAGGAGCCCAAGGACCATCAAGCCACAACCAGAGTTATACACAATCTAGCCGGCCTGCGTGGATGACCTCTGAAAAAATTTGAAGAAGTGTTGAACATCGCACGTTGTGACAATTGGCCATGGCCTAAAAATGCGCTGTAGTTCTGTCAACTATGGCGAAATCAAACAGATTCCTGTTTCTCCGCATAAAATCTGGGGGCCTGATATCGGACTGTTCAACAAGTACGTTATTTCTTATACTTAGCCCACTACTAACAGTGAAATAGTGTTGGCTCTTTTCTAAACGCATTTCTATAACTGATTCTGATCTAAAGATCTAAGAGACAAGCGCTCTCGATCGTCAGTTTCATCTTCGAAAAGTTAAATTCGGAGTTTGGTAGCGTTAATTGTGGAAAATCTGTTTTTTCTCTTTGTTTTGAAACACAAGCATTCTGGCTCAATCGTCAGCACTGATAATGCGCAACTTTTGAGACAACTCTTAACAGTTCCCAGGATCGACTTTCTCTTAACCTCGGCATTGGAATATGAATGTGTCGTTTTCTTGTCCAGCAATCGCGAGGTTTTTAAACAGCATACATTTACATCCATAAAAAACACAATACAATACAACGCTAGCAGTATCGCCTTCTTCAGAGCCTGGAAGGGTATACTGATATACAATCTACTAAGCCAAACGCTTCAATAACACTTACAAAAAGACGAAGAACTCTCCGGTAATTACATAGTCAACAGCTTCTTAAAAAACTCACCACTTTTTACGTGACTTCCAATGAGGAAGTTTAGAACAGCTGATTATAGTCGCATGTGGTTGACGACTGCACCATCCCACATCAAAAATCGATGCGAACGTACGGGGTCAGGTCGCGTATGACCTCCGGGCATTCATCTCTGCTATCCATTGTAGGGTTTTTGGCATTGATCCAAAAAGCCTCAAGGAGTTTTCGCGCTGGTGTTTTGGACTCCTGTGCAAGGATATCGACTTTTACTTCAAAATCGTCTCCGCTATGCTTTTATATCCTATGCGTGCCTAGTGGGGTGCTTCGTCTTAGTTTTCGTTTGCCATCTAGGTGTTCTTTTATACGGATACACAAAGGTCTGCCCGTTTCGCCAATATATTCATCTCCGCAATTATTAGAAGAGATCAGGTATATCGCGCCTGAACTCATGCAATCACCGTCCCTGCCGTAAGGGCAAATTACGCAATTTGTTGTTTCACACAGACGGTCATACAGGCGGTTGCGAACTAATTGGCGACGTAGAGTAGTCGGTGGTATTTCAACTATCGCTACCGATTCCTCTAGACTTGCCCTTCTTAAGCATCGTTTTATAGCTACGCTTACTTCATCGCTTATAAAAGGCAACATAAACGGGACTTTCTTTTGGCGAAGTGTTTCGCATGGGCGCGTCGCTCTCCTTTTAAACTTATCTCGTGGGGTTACTATTTCGTTGCCATTGGAGATGGCTATTTGCTGAGACACGTCGCGCGATTCTTCCTTTAGTTCCCTGGTAGTGCACACAGAGGTGGCTGTTCGAAACATGTTTCTCAAAATCGCCCCCTTTGTGTGTGAAGGGTAGCAAGAAAGGAAATAAACAAGAATGTTCTTTTTACTTGGCTTTCGATACCACTTTGTCAGGTAACCGCTACTTGATAGGTTTATTTGAACGTCCAAAAACGAAAGCCAGTTTTTTCTCTTGGTTTCACCCGGGTGAACTTTATGTGCTCGGACTGCTCGTTCAATAATTCAAAGCATTTGTTCATCTCCTGCGTAGAGAAGACGACAAAACAATCATCTACATATCTGCAGCAGAGTAATGGCCGGAGATCAAGAACGGGGTGCTTCTATCCTAGGCATAAACACAATGGCAAGGCTTGGTGCCAATCGCTGTCCCATTGCCAATCCCCTTATTTGTGCGAAATATTTCCCAAACCATCTGAAAATCGAGCAGTTTAGGCACTCCTTTAAGAGAGCCATTAGCTGCTGGATGGAAAAGCCATGCATATTTATTCTTCCTTCATGTTCAACAAGAAGTTCGAAGATGGCTTGCATTGCGGAGTCATTCGACACGTTGGTGTACAGTGCGGTAACGTCGAGAGACTCCATCACGTACGCGTTATTAGGAGACGCTTACGTAGACGTTCTAGGAACATTTGGGTGTTTGTGAAGTGAGCTGGAATGTGGTTAAGCAACTGGGTAGGTATCAGGCTTAAAAATCAGGTTATTCTATCCGTATCCGTTTATTCTTTCCCATTGGAAGTCACGTAAAAAGCCGTGAGTTTTTTCGAGAAGTTGTTGATCATGTAATTGTAATTACCAAGGAGTCTTTCGTCTTTTTGTAAGTGTTATTGAAGCTGACGCGAGATTGGTACAGATCTTCGTTGTCGTTGTCGTTGTCGTTGTTTTTGATGTTATTGATCGATGGCTGACGTTTCGGCGACTTCGCCTTCCTCAGAGCATGGACGTACTTTATGTTAGAATACTTTTTATTATTCGGTGGAAAAGAAGGTTAAAGTATTAATGAAGATCAAACTTTCAAATAGACGCCATATTGAACAGAAAGGCCACTCACCGTGATGTTACTTGCGGGACTGGCCCACACGTAGTTCACGTGGAGTCGCGAGCAAGACACGCCCCGGGGTCAAAATATCATTTTGAAATAGGGCGCCAGGTCACGTGTGATAGTGAGGCATTCGTCCTTCCGGTTCATCTTTGGATTTTTGAAATTTATCCAAAACGCTAAACGCTGCCCCATCGCCAACCCTCTAATTTGTGCAAAATATTTTCCAGACCACCTAAAGATTGAACAACTAAGACACTCGTTCACGATTAAGCTGACGTTTCGGCGAATTTCGCCTTCTTCAGAGCTGCTTAGCACCAAGCCTTGCCATCGCTTTCATGTCTAAGGTGGAAGCTCCAGTTCTCGATCACCGACCCTTACTCTACTGTCG